GCGGGAGAAATAAAAATTGGAGAAATAAAAAACAAAATGTAGGCGCATAGAGGAGCAGGTTCAGAACCAGAATGTTATGAGATGTGATATTTGTCATATACTCAGCCTTGAAGCGAAGAACTGTTGGAGAAGTATTGGAGCTTATCTCAAATGCGGGTAGAAAGATCATAGGATTGCAAATTGCCTAAGAATACAAAAAACCAGAATACCTTAAAGACCGGTCAGTCCAGTAGTGGGAGCAGACTACCTCAAGCCAAGGCTCAAGAATATTCCTTGACTGAGAAGGAGGCTGTAGCAGATAAAGATGTGGTAACAGGTATGATAACTTTTTAATCTGTTCTTGCTCGAGTACTTTTTGATTCTGGTGCATCGCACTGTTTTATTGCTTCACAATTTGTGAAGAGAAACAAAGTACTCCATGATACTTTACAATAAGAATTATTTGTTAGTACACCTGAGGGTAGTATCTTATTACCAAATCAGGGTTGTAGGGGAAATTTAATATTCTCGATAAGGAACTTCCGACGGAATTAGTAGTACTGGAAATGCATGATTTTGATATCATACTAGGGATGAATTGGTTATCTTTAAATCATGCTTTCATTTTGTACCGAGAAAAGAAAGTGGTATTTAAATTTTCGAGTCAACCAAAATTCTGTTTTGAGGGTTATAAATCCCTAGAACTCTTGAAAATTATCTCAGCCCTTAAAGCCTATCAGGCACTGAGAAGTGAATGTATGAGTTATTTAACTTTAGTTAAAATTAACGATGAAGAAAAACTAAGCCTAGAGGGGATACCAGTTGTCTGGGATTTTCCAGAGGTGTTTCCGGAATAACTTCCAGGAATACCCAGTACAAGTCCAATTTCTAAGGCTCCTTATCACGTGGCCCTAGCTGAATTAAGAGAGCTCAAGGTGCAATTGCAAGAACTTTTGGACAAATTCTTCATTCGGCCTAGTGTGTCACCATGGGGTGCGCCGGTATTATTTGTGAAAAAGAAAGATAGTAGTATGCGACTATGTATTGACTTTCGTGAATTAAATAAAGTAACTATTTTTGAATTTAATAATAAAATTTGGCAGCAATATGTAATTGAGTTATTTTCAACATTATGAATACCCAATTACACGCTCTGATCATTTAAGTTCGCATGAAACCAAAAAAACTAAAATAAAGTTCATAAGCTAACACCTATCAATCAATGAAACTAAAATGATTAGAAATCTTACCTTCACCTTGTTCTCTTTGTTGTAAACAATTTAATTCGAATAAACTTTTGTAGCATGAGACAGGAGACTGTAGATGGGAGTTGGGAAACACATTAGCATTTACAGAAGAGCAGGAGATGTGAGGACGTGGAGATGTGGGAGACATGAGATGGTTATTTTTGGAGTGGGTGTTGTGTGAAACGTGGGCATAAATGTGGGCACAAACAACATTTGAATTAACAGTTTGTTTGTAACATCAGATTAAATTTTTTGGTATTGTTTTGGAGTGTTGGTTGTGTGGATCGTGTGCATAAACGTGGGTAAAAACAGTTATTTAATTCTCAGCAACAGATTATTTTGTAACATCAGAAGGGCTTTTTTGTAATTTTGTGTTGTTAAACGTTAGCATAAACATTGTTAATTAAAAAACCTTTTGTTTCTGTTCATTATAATATTTTTTGTTGTTCATCATAACTTTAAGAGGAAATCTTTAAATATGAAAAAACTAAAAGGCTACCTATAGTAGTGATCGCATCTTGATTTTCTCGACGACAATGGCCGATCATAACCAGCTCATCCCTACAATAAAACTATAATTAACATGAATTAACATGAATTAAGTGTAAAGTTAGTATAAAATTTGATGATATGTTTATAAATACTGATTAAACATTTGTGAAGATACCTGTTAACAAACATAATAGGACTATGGACAAAAGAAAACACATGAAAACATTCAGTTTTTTAGTTAAAGATATTTACTAATTGTAATATTATGATTTTTTTACATCTTATTTACCATAATTAAAAATAAGAAAAGGTGCATCAGTATACAAATAGATTACAACCCCAACACTCTGAGATTCAACTATGTTATTATTATTTAAGTAATAATAAATACATGATGGACCAAGGTTCAAGTGAGACTTACCATTGATGCGGCATAAACATGTACCAAAAAGGTTGCAAGTGCACAACCGTGTCAAGTTATAGTATTTAAGATATCGATCCCACGAGGAAGGTGTTTTGTAGGAGAAAATATGAAATTGGTTCTTATTTTGTGTGCGTGACAAATAGGAGTGATAAGTGAATGTGATTGTGAAGAGATTGAGAGAGTGAAAATGGTAGTGTGTGAAACGGCGCAAAATTTAAGTGAGAGTGATGTGACAAAGAATGAGTGTGATCAATAAGGCAAGAAGGAAAAAAAATTGAATAAAATCAAGAAACAAATGAAAAATCAAGAATGAAGAACAAAATTCTCGAATAAAAGAAAATGTAAGAAATTAAAGATGATGGATTCAATTATAGATATGGATAATCTAAAATTGAACCCACTTCTTAGAAAAGGGTGATTCCCTAGAGGGTTCTAGCCTAAAGGCGAATCAAACAAAATAAAAATAAACAAAAAGAAAAACTAAACCCAAGAGGGTTCTAGCCTCAAGGTGAATAGTATAAGAAATTAAAATCTAACTACAAAATAAAGTGCAAAATCTAAACTACAAAATAAAATTGCAAGAATTAAATGCAAGAAAATAAATCTACTCTATAAGCATGAAATAAATCTAAGGCAAGAGGGTTCTAGCCTCTTGGCTATTTAACAAGAAAATAAAATCTAAACTACAAGCATAGAAATAAATCTACACTAATAAGCAATAAAAAGGAAATAAAAGAGAAAAAGGAAAGAAAATGCAAACCTCTAAATAATTCTTTCGATACAGGCATCGATGCCCGTATCGATGCCTGCATCGATGCTGGCATCGATGCTCCAATAAGAATTCTGACTTCACGGTCGGCTTCGTCTCGTCGAGATAGGCGATTTTCATATATTATATGTTAAATTCCGCCTTCCGGGTTGGGAGATATCGTCGTTTCTTTGCAGCCAACTATCTTGATACATTTTTTTTTCATATTTAATTTTTTTATTTTCTCCGGCTTCTACAGGCTACTCGGCTTGATTCTGGGCTTGGGATTTTTGACTCTTGCTTGTGTTCTTCATTTAATTCATGGGTTTTTGTTGAGATAAGAGATCTTGGGCTTTATTCTTTACTAACCTGCAATTAAAGATAAAAAACAATTATTAGTGGTATATTTATTCATTAAAAATAAATAATGAGGGTATAAAATTATAATAAAATGTGATTATCAACCATCAAGGTCTCTCAAACACTAAATTCTGAAAATTACAATTAGAAAAAATATTATTTCTCCAGAACTTCTCTAAAATAGCAACAATGGAGCTCGTGAGCTACAATATTTATATTTTGATAGGTTACATACCATACTTCTAGAAAAAGCTTATAACTATCAACCAACACGAAGAGCCCTTGGTTAATCTCAACGACTACAATCTTGCTTACAAATCACAGGTTGTTTATTTTGACTATATAAAAGAAATACAAAGCGGGAAAAGAAGATGAAAAACATCAAGAATGACAAAGAAGAAGCGACTATAACAACATAACGAAATAAAGTGCGAAATTACCCTGATGCATTGTGATCCCAAAAAGCAGTAACATTTCACCTAAACACTCCATGAACAAAAGAAAAATCACTTGAATCCATTTTTTTAATGCAAGAGTATCTATCACTATTTATTAGCATTAGGTTATTTTGAAAACCAAACTTATGCAAATGAGCTCGGATATGCACAAAATTAGTACATAAGTAGTGAAAAATGCCCTAATAAATAAAACAAATACTGTAGTAAGTCAATAACAAAAGTACATATAATAAGTTCAAAAATAAATAAGTGTGATTGTCTCATAATTTGGGGCTCCAAGAAACTTTAAGAGAAATTTTCTTGGTCTTGCCAATTCCACTACTTGCTCCAGTAATCCACAGAAACTAATAGTCAAAATATTTTCAGTTAAGAGCACAAAAAATATAAGTTAAATTAGAAATAAAATCATAATGTACCTAGATTATCCCATTTCCCCCAACTTCTTCATGCTTCACGTGTAACTTCGAAACAGAGAAACACCTTGGTCACAAAAAATAAGCCATTAGAAATGGGGAAATTGAAGGGTTTTCGATTTTATCATCGACGTTGAAGAGGAAGGCACCAATTAGCAATCAGCGCATGGTGGCTGATCAAAGAGCCAACTACAAAAAAGGAGGACTAAGACAGTTCCCGGTGGTCTAGGATTAGGGCTAGGGTTTGATTTCAAAAGATACGTAATTTCTTGGAGAGAGAGGGGGGGGGGTC